CATCCTATATCTCATATATCCTACATTGTTAATAACATTGTTTATGTAGGTATACTTTGTTGCTTTAAAATTACACTCCTAGAGCCTGTCCTGCCCCTCTCCTTCACTCAATGTTGCATGCAACAACAACATGGAGACGCTCGAACATGCTAGTGACATGGAGCTGGTTGGTAAAATTTATATATGCCCGCAGTTTATTTTTCAGCCATTTTCTTTCATGCACATGTATAGCTGTCTCTTAATAAAAGTACCTGTGTGACATTGGGGACGTTTGGTTCTGACTTGGAACTGTCTTTAATTTATGGGGGAAAAATATCGAGGTGTATATTGCTATTTGGCTAAAAAACATTGAGATTTTTGGTCCATATCGTCCAGCCCTACCCAGTCAGGATTGTATCCTGCAGTTGCCAGGGTTGTGCTGTCAGGCTGCATACAGTCTGAAAGCTTGGTAGATGGTTTTGACTGCTGTCAGCCCTTTTATGTCGAAAGTACTTCGCTCAAACCACTGGGTCATGGATCCATCCAAATAAATGGGGAGGTGAACAGACTGAAGGCTCCTATTTTGGTTGGCCAAGCCATATCTGCTGAGCAAATAGCTGCACTGTGATTTTCAAATATGGCATTTTGACAAGTGCTCTGTTTGCTTATCAGAACACTGTGTTGGTGTACTTGGGGTGCTGAGTGACTGCCTTTTATTTCTCATTTCCTGGGACAAGTCTCAGACTTCTGGATGAGGGATTTCAAAGGAGGGGGACAGGGGCCAAATCAGTCCCATTATCTCGTAGTCCCAGGTGATCTTTGTTGACAGTTCATCCTTCAGTGTGTCTAAATGATTTTTAGTCAAATGGCAGTAAGTTCCTTAACAGGCTTGTTTCTAAGCAGTTTGTGCCTATAACCTCTTGCTGGTTATCTGTAGCACTGACTGACATGGGAGTCATGCATGTTTGTTTGCAAGATGGTATCCATGTTCCCAGATAATACCTGAAAACACTTATCACGTTCAGTTGATGATGTCAAGCTCTTGGGTGGCTTTCAGTGTTTGAGCGTAGGGGGGATTTTACAAAGATGAGAGCTACCCCCTCTCTGGTGGTTTCCCTGGACAATGGGGCTTGATGTAACCATTAGCATTGTTACGATGTGCGCTACTAAGCGTGACTCCCAGGGAGGGGTTTGGGCCAAACCCTGGTGGTGTAAGAGGTCCCAACGGTGGGAGAGCACCAACCGTGAATGACTACGCCCCCCACAGCCCCCACCTTCAGCTACTCTGCCGTAAAGTGAGCCATGCTCTGGCGTTGGAGACCTCTGCCTCTCACTGAAATTTTATTCGGGAGGTTTCAGAGACGTGGGGAATGTATGGACACAGATCTCAATTTCTGATACTACTGAAAGGTGCTTGATCTTTGACGTGGAATTTGATGCTCAGTTTTGGCCTTCGGGGATTGGCCTGTAATCTTGCCGCGCTTCCGAGCCAGTTATCATGCTAATTGTACTGGTTTTAGCCTCCTCCGTCAGGTCCTTTGTTTCAAGCAGTTTGAAGAGCACAAGAGAACCTGTTTATGCGGTGACCTGGGAGGACCGGGCTGAGAACCGCTGCTCTGAACAGATGGTGTCATCAGCTGGTCTCTCCCCCGCCCTGTTGTGCTGAGTCCACCGCCTCGTTACTGCCATTCCTATCTTTTGGGCCAGAACATTGCCAGTGTAGTGAGCAAAAGCTCCATATTACTAATTTGGGTGCGACATCAGATATCTTTACTTTAAATGGGCTTGTGTGCGAAATCGCTCTGCTTCATCTGGGAGACTGTGAAACTCATACCGTGGTAAAATGCTGTCCCCTCCACAGCCAAGGGTGTGGCTAACCTCTCATATTCTGACATTTAGAGAATGTTTCCATGGAGCTGGGCCATTTTGCACTGAAATTGTCCGTGTTCCCACACCTCATGTCCCTGACCCAAGATGTGTGGGTATGTGCTCATAAGCTCACACGGGGCCAGAGTAAAGGGTGGTGTTGGTGGGTGGAGCGAATGGCAGCCCCCCCCCCCCTCCCCTCAGAGCACAACAGGTGCACAGGATGCTGGACAACTGCCGGCCTCATCCGCATTCCGCCCTGGACGGGACATCGATTGGAACGCCAGGCAGGCGCTGTGACATGATTGCTCATTATGAGACGATTGATTACCTTGTGATTGGCCAGCCTTCTACAGGGAGCTTAGCTACTGAAGCCCAATGTCAAACTGAGGCTGTGGTGGCGAAACTGTCTTGGTGACTGCAGAGTCCTCTGGTCAGGATGCAGATTTTGTGCGCTGATAAAGTCTGTGCTTGTACTATTATTATTATTATTTTATTATTATTATTTTATTATTATTATTATTATTATTATCTGTTAGGTTTCACATCTTCCTTTGTATCCTTCCTACATTTGGGTTGCTTTTGTATTTGGACTCATTTGCTTCATTGGGAAGCTGATGTTCCAACATGTTGGTTCTTTCCTGAGTTTACCTTCATTAGGCTTGTGTGTCTCCTCAGTATTACAGCATGATGACAGTCATCTGGTTCCTTGGAATCAAATGCTAACCAGTAGACATAAACAAAACACCATCACTGTCACATTTCTGTTTTACAAGAAGCAGCAGCTTCTCAAATTTCTGAAACCTGTTGAAACGAAAGTTAGCATTAAGTCATGTTGTGTTTTATTTATTTTTTTTGGATTGCAAAACTACAGCTACTAACTTCAATAAAATCATAAATGCCTAAAACACTAATTGCTTGTGAAACACTTAAGATATGAAGAATATTATGTGCTCCCTCCCTTATGTCGCAGAGGTATCAAAAACAACAATTCAATTCCATTTATTTTTATATAGTGCCTTTCACAACAGAGTTGTCCCAAAGCACTTTACAGTGTTGTGATACATGAAACAGAAGTGGAGGGAGATACAGAACGGGGAAAATAAGGAAGGAAAGAAATTGAATAAAGGAAGCCAGAAGACAATGGAGAGGAACCAAAAACTCCCAAGTAGGGAGAAAAATCCTCTGGTGGTCAAACATCAACTGGCTGCTCAGCCCCCCACCGCGGGCACCACCTGGACATGTGGGACAGCAGCGAGCATGGATGGTCAGAACATGCGTTGACACATAAACGGAGAAGCATAGTAGATAAAATAAAGAAACCAGCACAGCATTCAGTTTTTTCCAATGTAAAGTATGTATTTCATCAGTTGTCTGTTTTTGAAGCCAAAGGCAAGCTTTGTGTAACTGTAAAAGTCAACAAATATTCCTGCAGTTTCACTTCTAGTATGCAGTGATGAAGTGTCTTGGCAGTTCTGCAGTGATCTGAATAAATTAGTGATTTGTCCAGATTATTATGGGAATAGTGTATAAATACATGTCTTTTTGGCAATGCCCCCCCCCCCTCCTTGAAAGGTTTTGTAAAAGGTGTTATTGTCAGACTGACGCTACATGACTAGAGTAATTAGACTGATTCAATGGTACCATCCTTCCTGATACATACTGCATGAAATAGAACTGTACAAGATCCACCCAAGTGTGGATACGGTCTGTGCTATTCAGCAGCTTTTCATTTGCACTGCTACCTGTGTACTTGTAGGCCTCGTTTCGGTGGTCAAATGACTTTTGAAACCAGCAGTTCTTTACTCTTTGACCAGGTGTGCATGTGTACAAGTGCCTGGCAATGTACAGACTTAACATGTCAGGTAGGAGGTGACTGTGTACTTGTTCACAGTGGCAAGGGCATTCTCAAGATGATTTTTTTCTGGCAACAGTTTGGTCCTTTCAACCCTTCTGACAGCACAGTAAACATGGATAAAGTATTTCTTTAGCACTATGGTTCTATTCACACTGTAGTGAAATTTTTCTGTCCTGTGGGAGAGTGGGATAGCCAGAATGACGAGGGTTAATGTGACTACTGTCAGGGTTGTGAAGGTGGTTTTCAGTTTCAAAAATGGAAATTCTTTATTTTTACTGGTGCTTTAATCTGGCCTCATCTACTGCTTTTATGTTTTGGCCAGCAGGTGGCATATTGGTTTTGTCTGTGGAAGTTTGCATGCCCGAACTCTAGCTGTAATTATCCAGCTGTATATAATGGGAGAGAATTTGCTTATCTCCTTCATTTTTGTGTTTTCTTTGCTTTCTTGTGTCATTGTTTGGACATTTTGAAAGCCCACTAGTGAAGGTGTGGTCACGTCAGCAACGCACAGAGCAGCCTTTCGTCACAGGTCCCGGTGTCGATTCGCTGATAGCCCCGGGCTGTTTGGAGTAAAGCTCTGCTTCCCTGCATGCTGCTGGCTGCCCCCCTGGCTCCTGTAGTGTGATTATCGGTGTGGAGCAGAGCGTGGCTTGCCTGAGAGCTTTCCAGCGCGTTCCGTTCAGCCTCTGTCACCACCAGCTGCTGCCAGATGTTCCCCATTACTCTCATAACACGCGCTGGCACACGGGGGTTGGGAGGGTGCTCTGCTGAACCACTTTCATTACCGCTGAGGTTTTTGGGCCCGTCTGACACTGTTTTGTAAACTGCAACGGGGTGGAGATTGACCGGGCGCATGGTCAGCTACAGCCCCCTCGCCGATTCGCTTCAGTTGACCAGATGGATTCCTGGGAGCAGATGGGTCGTTTTGTTTGCAATTAGCCCTCAGCCGGAACCGAACCTCAGCCCACGCGCCGCGGCGTAGACTTTAGTCTCTGCGGACCCACAATGCTAAGCAGGGGGGATGGAGATGCTGTGCGCGGCGTGCCCTTTTCAGGCCTTGACAGCCCGCGCGGAAATCAGATTAGCTCACGTGAAGGACGCGCTGCCGGTGCTCCCTGCCTGCCTCCCCCCCAGATGCACCTATTATGGCCCTGCAGTAATGAGATTAGCCAGCACAAAGGCCCGTAAGGCTGAGGACCCTTCAGTCAGAGCAGTTTTAAATGGTGGGGGGGGGGGGCTTTAACCCCTCGTGACCCACGCCTCCCTATCTCTGACCACGCCCCTTGTCTCCTGCCAGGAAGCCCAGGATCAACTCCCAACTGGTAGCGCAGCAGGTGGCCCAGCAGTACGCCAGCCCCCCGCCACCCAAGAAGGAGAGGAGGGAGAGGGCTGAGAAGGAGCGGCCCGAGGTGGAGAGGGTGGAGCGTGTGCGTCCGGACGGCGAGCCGCCCTCCGAAAAGGAGACCCTTGAGAAGGAAAAGGAGAAGCCAGACCAGGAGAAGGACGTCAGCCCTACAGTCACAAGGAAGCCCAGCAGCAAGAAGACCAAGTGAGGCTCTAGCTGCAGTAGATCCGCCAGTGGTGGGTCAGAGCTTTTCCCCCTCTTTCTGAGACGACTTTTTTTTTTCCTGTTCGCTACTTGCAGACCCAAGTCAGATATTCATCAAAGTCCACGCAGTGAAGTGAACAGCATCCAGTCTGGAAATTCGACAGCCAAGACCAACGGCTCCTCACACGTTTCAAGGTAAGACTCCTCACCATGACCCTTGCCATCGTGCTTTATGTGCTCTTCATTAGGCTTGTGTGTCCCCCCACGTAACGGATAATTAACCTTTGCTAATGATCTCACCCTCACAGGTTTATTTCAGCTGTAAACGTGTGTGTGTGTGAGAGAGAGAGCTTTACGAAAGTGCTTCTGTCAGAATGCCGTACTGTGAAAAATTGTTCACTGATATCCATTTCTAAGCATAAACTGCTTAAACTCAGTTTCGGCTTGGTGTGACAGAATGTCACTACTTTTGTTGATCTCTTGTTCCTTTGAGATAATGCCATCATCTGTCTCTGGAGCATTTGAGCTGCCCTATTGCTTTCCATAATGCTGGACTTAACACCAGTGTGTTTCCAAAAGTGTTCTCCAAATTCACACTTTTCTGTTCAGTGTTCATGTAAATATGTGTGGGTGCTTGTCGTAGCGAGGATGTGTCTGATTAAATTGTGCCGTCCGATTTGTCCCGAACAGCAGGCCCAAACTGAAGAACGTGGATCGGAGTACCGCCCAGCAGCTGGCCATTACCGTGGGCAACGTCACTGTCATCATCACGGACTTTAAGGAGAAGACGCGCTCATCCTCCACATCGTCATCCACAGTGACGTCCAGCGTGGCCTCGGAGCAACAGCACCAGAGCTCAGGCTCTGAGAGCATGGACAAGAGCTCCTCTCGGGCCTCCACCCCCAAAGGACATCTCACCGTGGGGCACGATGAGTCCTTTTGAGTCCCCTACCTGCAGCTCCATGGAGAATATCAGATTCCAGAGAGGAGTGTGAATTTTCAGAATCTCCTGCCCCCCACATGCCCCCACTTTCTTTCCACGATGTTGAGGATCTGAGCTCCTGGGACATGGTTGCACACAAAGCTGACAGGTGCTTTTTCATGGGACCTGGGCTCCGGATGCCAGTGTGAGGCCAGCAGGAATCCAACCCTGTATGTATTCCTTTGGTTTCTATGTTTAAGTGGACATTTGCTGAATTGACGTTTTTAAGAAATATCTATATATAAACACACATAGATATTTGTAAAATCTGCGCTGAAGTTTCCACCAACATTTTAACAATATTGACGCATCATTATTCCTATTTATTTGTCTCTTATCTGTGTACTTCTAAAATCTCGATTTTACTTCACTGAGACTTTTAAACGCGGCTTGGCTCATGTTCTCCGTTGTATAGATGGATGATTTGTGAAATTGTCCGAGCTCTCCGAACACCTCCAGCACTGGTGCTATGTACACTGTGAAACCATTTTACTTCTGGGGCTTCACCTGGATACGCAGTATCCTCGTCTTATCACCGCTTGGAGCACAGAGGCTTCCTTCCGAGGTCGGATTATGCTGCAATCGTACGGAGAGACTGAAGTGAGGGCCCTTTCTCTATGGGCGTCGCCTCAACGTCGTCCTGGTATGTAATGTGTGTTGGAGCTTTGGCAAACAAAACCTAAAGATTTGTGTGATGCAAAATGTGGCTTATAGATTAATTGTGCTCCTTAGTGCATCAAAGAACAACACTATAAGGTTTTTATTTTATTTTCACTCTTATTTTGACCTGCGTTTGATTTTTATTTATAAGATTAAGCCGGATTGACTGAACTTTTGGAGAAAATTAGAAGTTTGGTGGATTTCAAACTTCTGTTGAAATGGTCTTTAAAATAACCTGGGTGTATAATGTAGGCAGTGGATTTCTGGAGGTTTAAATGATCAGTAAAATTAGCAGGGGTGCCCAAACTTAATCTCAGTACATGCTGGGTTTTGTTCCAGCCTATCGCCTAATTACCTTCCGTCAACTGTTGCATGAAAGAATCATAGGACTCAACTTTCCATGAATATTCATTATACACTTTCCATAGTTTGAATGAAATGGTTTAAATAATTACAGGTTACTGTTCACCAGTTCATTGGGTTAACCTGGCACTCAGTCATGCTTCCACTGTGGTTCCAAATGATAATTTCTGTCATCACTACTTATCACCATTACAGCTGTTTCTCCACTAACATCCATTCAGTAGGATGTGACCCAAAAGCGACCAAGTCATGTTATCAGTGACTACCAGTGACAACAAATCAGCTGCTTAATCACTGCAGTCTAGGCAGGAACCGAAATTCAGGATACATTCGGATTGAAGGAATCGAGGCTGCCCCAGACATGTTACAGCTGTACAGAAATCAACATGCTAATTGGTCGTTCTTTTAGTGGTGCTATGGATTTACGGAAAAAGGATATTATTAGGTGATTGAGAATTTAGCTTTGTAATAATGAAATGCATTTAAGTACATTAGTAAAGGCAATTTATGTAAAAATAGTAAATGAAAACTACAATAATTGTACCAATAATAATGTTCTAAGGTGCTATTCTTGGTACTCATTCTACTAAAACCATTTGATGGACTAAAAGTAAATGAGATCGATAAAATTACATTGACTTGAGCCCCCTCCCCATCACTGTCCATAGGAAGCAGCACTTATGTGTAGGTCAAAATCCTATGGAAAAGTAATGGAAGGTCAGCACATCTCCTTTCCACGTAATATGGAACTTGTGAAAAGAATAAACATGTATGTGATATCTTAGTTGTATTTATTGATGGACCAAAGGAATTTGATATTGACACACTAAATAAAATTTGAAATATTATCAAATGTGTGATATATAAAAAATAGACTAATATAATTCATGTAAATTGTCATTTTGGTTCAGTCCAAGACAATTTCATTTGGACTGTGAGATCCAGCCTACATCTTTCATATAAAATGTCACAACGTTCTTGTCGAAGGCCAACGTTTTGCACTTTCGTGGCACGTCTGTGCAGAGAGCCGCCCAGTCATGGTGTCGGAGGCTCACCTTGGAGAGCCCTTATGCGAGTGCCGACTAAAAATAGGTCGTAAAAGCAGGTCCAGGAGGACTACAGTGTTCTCCCCCCCCCCACCCCCACATACTTCTC